GGAGAGTGAGCCAGGGAAAGCGAGCCCCGCACCCTCAGTTCCCTGCCTGAGCGCCACGCGCAGCAATGAAAGTGCGAGTGGGAAGCGGGAGCGGAGGGAGAGAGGGGAGAGCCCTTGAGGAACAGGCCGGCGAAATGCTTGCCGACTTCCCGCCCAGCCATGGTTCCGGTTTCTTTGACCACCAGATGGCGTAACTTAGTTTATAAAAAGGTGGCCCTGTGGCAACAAAAACCAGAAGACATCTAGACAAAAATGCAGAAAATGCCCCCAGAGACGGCACATTCCACATGTTGTTCTAAGTTGACATTTCGATTTGGCTTTCTGGCCATCAAAATGCAGACAAATCCTTTTCTGAACCTCAAAATTCCAGCAATGGGCCTTCCCTGGCCTGTGTATAAAAATCCCAGCCCTCTGGGAGGGTGAGGCAGGAGGATTGCAAGTTTGAGCCCAACCTGGGCATCTTTGTGACTTAGTGAGACCCTGTCTTGAATTAAAAATAGAGCTGGGGGTGCAGCTCAGTAGAAGCCCCTGGCTTCAATCCACAGTAACTTCCTTTACACGCACACACACACACACACACACACGTGGGACGGGAGTGAGGAGTGAGCTTGTCTGTCTTCTTTTGTCATTTCACCCTCTGCCCACAGCTGTGGGTGACGATTCAGCTCCCGGCGGCAGAATTCCGTTAAAACAACTGATTGTGAAGACCGAATCAGGGGCAGACCTTCATGGTGACACCCTGGCCCGCTTCCTACAGAAAGGCCAGCACCGAGCGCTTGTGAGAAGAGGAAGAGAAAGACGCCTAACAGGAGCCACACCAAGGGCTAGGACCCTGGGGGTCTAAGGAAACGGTGTTGAAGGCAGAGTAGACACTGCCTCGGACCAGCCAGAGATCTCGGCTGAGTGTGCGGCGGAGCAGAGGAGGCGCTGCACGGGCGAGCTCAGGCTGTGCGAGTGTGCGTGTGTGTGTGTGTGTGTGTGTGTGTGTGCGCGCACGCGCATATATGATTGCTGCTGGTGTCGGAGATTTGGTGCACGCGTGTGATGGCCGGCGCGCGCCTGACAGGTGTGCTGGGAGTGTGCCGGCTGCAAGGCCGTGGGAAGGCAGGCTGAAGGCAGGGGAGGAAGGTCCGCCGCAAGGTGGAGGAGCGCGAGCCGCCCACGCGGGGGCCGCGGAGCCGCGCTGGGCCCCGGCTCCTCCTCGGCGCAGACCTGGGGCTCTGGTAGAGGCTCCGAGGACCCTGAGCTTGAGTGCGCGGCGCTCTGCATTCAGATGTCGCTGTCCTTCGCGGGCTGGGGGTCCGCCGGGGAGTGCGTCGATGCGAGGGTCCGCTAAGCTCAGTTCTGTAAGGTGGGTAATCCCTTTATGAATTTAGTTTGAAAATATGGAAGCATAAAATTTAAAAGTGTACATTTACTAAAATTTTAATTTTTTTTGTACCCTAACTTTTCTTTCTTTTTTCATTTCCTTCCGTCCTTCATTTTCTGAGACTGGATCTCACTCAGTTGCCCAGGCTTGTCTCAAACTTGCCATACTCCTGCCTCAGCCTCTCAGAGTGCTGGGATTGCAGGCATGCACCATAATGCCCGGCTTTCTGAGGTTGAATTTTAAAGTGATAATCGTGTTAGATATGGTCTCTGTATTGGTCAGTTTTCTTATTGTTGGGACACAATGCCTGACCCCCATTATTTAATGGAGAGGGGGTTTAATTTAGATCACAGTTTCAGGGAGTTCAGTCCATGGTCACCTGGCTTGAAGGCAAAACAGAACCAAAGGGCATTGGTGGAATAAAGCTCCTCACTTAATGGCTGCCGGGAAGCAGGGCAGCAAACAGTGCCAGAGAAGGACAGCTGAGGATCAGGTTCATGTCTGGCTGAGTCAGGAGCACTGCACCCATCTCTCCTGAGAAAACTCCGAGGCCTATTAGAGCTGGAATAATCCGCCCCCTTGGGTGTGTAGAGATCTGACCTTAGACAGATAAACTGTTCTTCTCAAAAACCTCTAAAGTCCTAGCCGGGTGTGGTGGTGCACACCTGTAATCCCAGCACTTGGGAAGCTGAGGCAGGAGGATCGCTGTGAGTTCGAGACCAGCCTGGGCTACATAGTGAGTTCCAGGTCAGTCTGAACTACTTAGTGAGACCCTGATTCAACCCCCCGCCAAAAAAAAACCCTCTAAAGTCCTGACTCCATCTGCCTCAGTCCCTAAAACATACAATCCAAAAATTAACATGTGGCCAATAAGGATGTGTCAAACATCTGACTCCACCCTGGCTCCACCCCTACATTACCCTGTATAAGGCTGTACATTTCCTCAATAAAACAGAAGCGTTTCAGAAACCTCCCCGGAGTCGGAGTGGTGATTCCCACCCTTGCCCTCCCAGTCTGGGTTCCTGAACCTTGTTCCGCCAGCGGGCTCGCGGAGGAAAACAGCAAATGGCAGCCGGGAAGCAGGGCAGCAGAACAGTGCTAGAGAAGAAGCAGGGAGGGACCATATGTCGTCCCCAGGTCATGCCTTTGTTATCACCCATGCATGAGCTCCACCAGCCCCCAGGTCACTCCCGAGCCAATAAACTGATAGAGTGAAGTTTAACTGTTCCAGTCTGCTGTGAGCTGTGTCTGAATGTCTTCTAGGGTGCAATGTAAGACAGAAGCAGGGCCGGGGATTTAGCTCAATGGTTCCACTGCCTGCCTCGCAAGCACAAGGACCCGAGTTCAATCCCCGGTACAAAAAACAAACAAACAAACAAAAAAACAAGACAGAAGCAGCTACAAAGTGCTGATTGCACTTAAGGAGCTTTCCATGGAGTGATCCAGTGGGACTTGACTGGCTGTGAGGCCAGCACAGTTTGAGTCTCACTCCACTCATGGAGGCTCAAGGATGTGCCCAAGGTCACGTGGGAAATCCTGGATTCACAGTCGGTTACCTTAACAACAAAACTGCTGACATTTCCTCATTCGTTAGCTGGTCTTTTGTTTTTTTTCTAGTAAGCAAAAAATGTAAAACTGTTTGTGGTCAGATCTATCGGTCTGTTGCTTTCTTTTGTCAGCCCCTTTTCTTCTTTCAGTGAACACCCTTCCCTTTTCAGAGACTGAAATATGTTTGGGTTCTGGAGTACACAGATGAGGGGAGGGTGCACGTACACGTGTTTTCTCAGTCATTTCTCCCAAGTCACTTACTGAATAATATTTTTCCGTCCTATTGTTCGATGACCACCCCTGGTTTTCACCCCGTATCACCTGTTTTAAAGGAGCACTGGCTGCGATGTGTGTGGGGGACTCAGGTTTCCACTTCCCCTTGTGCTGAGCCTTCCCAGCTCCGGCTGTGGGTGCCGGGGCAGGTGTCTGGCCAGGGCTTGTGAGGCAGCCCCAGCCCGGGCCTGGGGTAGCCGGGATGTGACGGGGCACAGCCCTCTGGCCTCGGGCTGAGCAGAAGTCAGGCATGCACTACCCTGGGCCACAGTCCAGCATTCTCAGAGGCGTCTTTCCTAAAGGGAGGCTGCGGAAGGGAGTGTCAGCCCCGGGTTTTGAGCTGGGAACTTTGTGGGCAGGTGCAGACTTTCTTCTCCCTCGGTGGGACTTGAACTCCCAGTGGCCCTTGACTATCCAGGGTCCGAACTGCAAGGTGCCACCACTTAGCTCTGTTCATGTTTTTCACTTATATTCCTTTTTTTAAAAAAAAAACACAGGCTTTTTCTATTCTCTAATATGGGTTTCTCATTACTCTGTTTTAGAAGCCTTGGTCTCTGTTCCATCTCACAATGCATCTGTTTTTGGACAGCATCTGTTGCTGTAGTTTTATACTGAGAACTTGGGGCCACACGAACCACTGTTTTCTGGTGGAGTTCTAGACGCTTTCTCAAGGCTCGGCCCAGATGGACATCCAGAAGCTTCCTTCGTGTGTGCCAGGCTCCCCAGGCCCTCCATGAGCACCGATTCTCCCGAGAACCAGGGTGCACAGGGTGTGGTGTGGCTGGGCCGGTGGAGCTCCGGGGCCGCCCTCCCACTCCTGCCTGCGCCGGTGCCTGCTGAGTGCTCCCGGGAACCACGCTGGGGCTTTCCCCACCGAGCAGCCCTGGACGGTGTGCAGCAGGGCTCGGTGCTCCTGGCCCGGCTGCACACGGACCCACGGCGAAGTTCCCGAGAGGTGCAGGGGCTGGGGACCGACCCAGGGCCCCTGCCCTGGCTGTGCGGATTTGGACAAATGCACGCGGTCCCACTGCTGCCGCCACGAGGAGGCCCAGAAAGGTCCGGCAAATGTTCCGTGTGCTAGTTGGTCCAGCGCAAGAAGGGCCGGGCGACCAGCGGTAAAGGAGGGCAGTTACCACGCTGCCTGCATACCCGTCCCTGCAGGCCTGCAGTTTTCCAGCCGGGGTGTCTGGGGGCGGTGGCTGAGGGGACCGGAGCAGCGCGGACACCGACTCGCGGGGCGGAGCCCTGGCGCCGGCGAGCCTGTCCCAA